ATGAGAAGAGGCTGAGGGACCTGAATCTCTTCTGTCTCCGCAAGAGGAGACTGAGGGGGGATCTTGTGGCTGCCTACAACCTTATCAGGGGCCACCAGCAGGGACTCGGGGAAAGTCTGTTCACCCGGGCCCCCCTTGGAGTCACCAGGAACAATGGCCACAAGCTGAGAGAGGATAGGTTTAGGTTAGATATTAGGAAGAACTGCTTCACAGTAAGGGTGGCCAGAGCCTGGAATAGGCTTCCTAGAGAGGTGGTGCTCTCGCCTTCCCTGGACATCTTCAAGAGGAGACTGGATAGGCACCTGGCTGGGGTCTTAAGACCCCTCCCAGCCCCAGTACTCCTTCCTGCCCATAGCAGGGGGTTGGACTCAATGATCTGTCTAGGTCCCTTCCGACTCATTGATTCTATATTGATTTACATTGCCTGGGGATTTGGCCCAATGTCTCTAACTTAGAATTTGCATGTGGATCTCTTGCACGCAGCTGGAAGATACTAAAGAAGTTTAATTGCTAAGGATATATTTGCTATGCATCAAAGGAGCTATACTACTGTTGTCTACTTCACAAGGTTTAGAATAGATCAAAGAAGCTGTCTCAGAAATACCCTGTTTCAGGGTACATAAAGATATTTTCAGGATACATAAAGATATTTTCTGCATCTTAAACCTCTATTTCTTCTGGGGTGTGCAGTTACCATGGTAGAACATGAGCAATTTTGACTCCTAATCAAAGCCTACTGAAGTCAAAGGAGAAATTCCTTTTGACTTCAGTGGACCCGAGACCAAGGCCTTGGAGGTCTATCTTCTTTGCTTGATGGTATGATATCAGCAAACTGCGTCACTGTTGGCAACTTCCATGCAAATTCATAGATTTACTTCAGGTTTTCTTTGGCAGAACAGTGACCTTTTGAGATTCTAATACTGCTGCAGCTAAAGCTGATGGTAATTTTGCTGCTGACATTATTTGGATCAGGATCTCCACCTCATGCCATCTCACGTTTGCAACTAATATATAGAAACAGAATTTTAGTGAATGGAAAATGCATTTCTAGTCTGTTCCTCTATCATCTGGGTATAAGTATTACTTTTCTGAAGTAAGCATATATTCAATTCTGACATACCCAGGCAGGGCCATCCCTGGGGCTAACAGCAGCTTCGTGTCTGGCTGCTTGGTACCCCCTCCTCACCCCTACCGGTGGTGCCACTGCCAATGGGGGCAGTGGCTTCTTTGCATCCAGGGTGCATGGGATTAGGGCAGAGGCAGGGCTCTGCACGAGCTGATTTGTCTTGGGCCTTGCACCCTGCTTGGGTTGGCTCTGTATCTAGGTAACTTCCTTTGCAATATGATGCAATCTGGTGGTTGCGTCAGAGGCGAAAGCGGACTTCTTTAACCAATTCTTCACCTCCATTTTCTTGTGCAGGGACTGGGACTTCCCTGCTGTGATAGAAGCCGGACTCGAGGGGATCGCCTTCAGACCTCAGGTTGGGGAGGACCGGGTTAGAGAGCTTCTGGAGGGGCTGGACGCGTTCAAGTCAGCGGGTCCGGATGCTCTCCACCCCAGGGTGTTGAGGGAGCTAGCTGGGGTTATTGCAGGGCCCCTGGCA